TGTGGCACGCGTGGCTTTGCCCGAGGAGCCGCTGGCTCGGTGTGGGATGGGGCTGGCGGGCAGCTCTGCAGGGAGAGAGGGGCTGGACGGGTGGAGTGCACCGGGCTGTCTGCGCTCCCCTTCCCTCTGGCAGCAGTGTGCGTGATGCTTGAGTATTGATCTGCTGGGCTCGATGCCTTTCTGCAATTTTCCAGGCCGAAATGGGATTTCTGGCTTTGTCTCTGCCGTTAGCTGGAGCTTGTGTGGTGCGCAGGCTGTGAAACCCCCGGCTAAAAGGCGGAGAGGGGCATCCCCAGGGCCTGGAGAAAGGCTGCCTTGAGGACAGGCTTAGTCCTCATGTTCTGAACCTGGCAGGTGAGGTGCAGAGAGGTGGAGCAAGGCCCTGCAGCCCACGAACACAGCCCCTCTCTGCTTCGCCTCTTGGTCCCCTTGCCAGGGGAGGCAGCAAGAGCGTAGCTGATGGCTGAAGGCGCCACGTTAGCTCTGCCGATCCCAGTGTGGAGCTCTCGAGCAACCCTGGACCTGGGTTGTGTTCCTGCTTTGCCTGCCACTGGCTGCGGGCGACAGTCTGCCTCGGGTGACCTTTCTAGGGAGGTTGTGGTGTCCTTGGGCTGACGCTTCCGTAGCCAGAGCAGAACCAGGACACGCGTGTCCTCCTCTGGCTCTGAGGCAGAGGACATGCTCCCTTCTGCAGCGGGTGAAGGTCTCCAGAGGGTGCCTCTGCCGTGGGAAGTGGGGTTGGGTGCTGGTTTTGGGGAAGGAACAGACCAGAGGTAGAATGGTGCTTCACAGGAGACATGGTTGGAAACCTCTTAAGCGCAGCTCTCCAGGTTTTTGTCCCCCTTAGGGCAAGAACTCTGGCTCTTTGGGTGAGGGGGGTCACCTCTCTGGATGGCCGCTGGGGTAGGGCGAGCATGTGCTGTGCACAGCCAGGCCTGGCTTGCTTGGGTCTGGCCCCTGGCTTGGCTCGGGCTAGGAAGGGTTTGCAAGGTCAGCTCTGTCCCACACCGTATGCTCTGCCTAGTAGCAGGTCACTGCTGGGGTCCTTTGTTCTGCTGCTGTTCTTCTGTCTCTAAAATGTGTGTGTTTGTTTTTGTTTAGCTGCTCCAAAGATCCCTCCAGACCTAAAGTCCCACAGCCCCAAATGCCCTTCTACTGTCACGGGCACCTATAGTAAGTCACTTGCCCTGTTCCCAACCCTAATTACGTGTCTTGAAGCAGGACCCTGATTTGGCTGCACATAGCCCTACTGCTTGTTTGAGAATAATTTAGCTGTAGATGCACTTGGGGTTTTGTGGCTTTGGATACTGGTTTTGAATCTGAAATGGAAGTTGAGAAGCCTTTCTTAATTCCTAAAGCAGGGTCTGAACTGTCAAAAGCTGAGGGCACTCAGGCCTGTCCACCCTCCACCCCAAAATCCCAGTTAGGAGCCTGACTGGGCTTTCTGACTGCATCTTCTAGATCTCCTAGCTGGGCACGCCCCAGCTGATCCAGTGCTGGGAGGTGATCCCAGAGCAGTCCTCAACCCCGCTCTGAATCTGAATGGTGGGGAGGTTGTGCACTGGCTAAGCTTTGCTGGAAGCTGCCTCCCCTGGGGTTACAGAGGGACGTAACTGTGTACGGCCTCCTCGCCAGCGTACCAGAACCACAGTGCCTTGGCACCTGGCCTACCAGGAGCACATCTTTCCCCACTGCTGCCTGCAGAGAGAAAGGATTTTTCCCCTGCCCAGCACAGGCTGCAGCATTGTCTGCTCTGTACTTCTCCAGTCGAGCAGCCACCCAAGCCAAGCCTTGGGTTTTGCCCTTTCTCCTAGTTCCGATGCACCTCAAAGGGCAACAGGTTTGTGTTGGAAGATCCTGGTTTCTCTAGCAGATGATCTTATAGGGCCACCCTTTGCAGATACACTTAAAAAAAAAAAAAAAAAGGCAAACCCTCACCCAGACCACTCGGCGTGTGTGTGTGCTCGGAACCCTGCTTTGGAAACCTGTGCTCAAGCTGTGGCGCCGGGCGCTGGGACAGCCGGAACCGTGCGATGCTCCCAGGAGCCCTGAGCCAAGCTCTGCCTTAAAGGGCTGGTCTCCGTGGTTGCTGTGGTGAGGTTTCTGCAGGCCCCACACTGTCTGTGGCACAATCCCATAGACACTGGACGCTAGACCCTCCAAAATCAGGTGTTTCTCTCCACAGAACTCTTCCCTTGCAGCATTTTGCAGCCACAACGTGGCCTTTAGCAGTGCGATACCAAGCGAGACCATCTCTTTAAGACTAACAGCATTCATGTTATAGCTGGCAGACTCTCCCTGGCTGGCTGAGCCCTAGCTTAACACCGAGTTTTGTTCGATTAAAATCAATTCTTTCACAATCTCAGCCTGCAGTCTGGCTCCCCTCTCTCAGCAGCTGCTGCTGAGCCCTGGGAGCAGAACAACTGCAGACAGACTCCCGGCCTCGGCAGCCCTCTGCCAGGGATGTGTGCTGCCAGGCAGCCTAAACCTCACCTGGAGTTCACACTCCGAACTACTAATCCTGCATGGCCATAATCTTACCCGGTGTATCAGACTAACCACGACTGGAAAAAAGGCTTCCAGTTAATTGTGGGGAAGGGAAGTCTCCCTGAGAGCAGCTTATCTCAGCGTACTTGCATGCCTGCGGCTGACAAATGTGTTACAAGACGTGCCCTGTGCTTGTTTTCCCTCGCACAATGGGAAGCCTCTAACTGCTACCGACTGGGAAGAGCAGGTGAATCCAAAGCTAATATCTCCCTTCCTGTGGGGCAGCTAAACTTGACAGAATGCTACGTTGCAGGGCAGGAACATAAATTATTTCCTGTAAGCCATCAAATCATCCTGCCCTGTTTTCTTTTTCTATTGCTGCATGTTTGTGTGTGCGTGTGTGTGTGCAGATGTATATGTATAGATAAAAATATTATCTATATGTATATACATACATACCAGCTCTCTCCCAGCCAGCTGCCTTTCCATGCGAGAAGCACATCGTACAGCTGCTGGGTATACGGAGAAGGGGTCTGGCACCCCTAGGAGGGAGCGAGTGGAGGGCTGCTCTGAGAGGGGCTTTTGGAGTCTGCTCTGCTTCCTTCCCAAGCTCCCCAGACGTCTGCTGTGCACCAGAACAAGCCGTGAGTCTCGGCTGATCCCAGGCATTTGGTCAAAGTCACCCCCACCCCAGTCCCAAGGTCACCCACAGCTTTTTGGAGTCGAGGGCTGTGAGGATGGATGTCCCAGCAGGCATCTCCTGGGCATCCGCTTCTGCAACTCAGCCTCTAGGGAAGGAGCATCCAGGGATTTGTGCGTTCCCAAATGCTGGAGCATGTGTGTGCTGGAAGCCGAAAAGGGCCTGCTGGGGAAGGGGACGTGGTGCTGCGTGGAGCTGACCCTGTCCCTGCTCTCTTCCCCGCCTGCAGTGCTGGCGTGCGGCCGCCCCCAGGCCACGGCGGTGTACAAGGTGTCTGAATACGCCAGGAGGTTTGGCGTCCCCGTGATTGCAGATGGAGGGATCCAGACGGTTGGGCACATCGCGAAGGCCCTCGCGCTCGGGGCCTCCACAGGTCAGCAGCGCAGTGGCCGGGTTGTGCACGTTGTAGGGAGTCTCCTGGGAAGGGTTTCCATACGTTCTCGGTACCTGATGGGGGTACGGGGGGCGGTTCTGTGCAGAGATCCTGAGGGTTTTGTGGCTGCAGCCCTGCCGACACGCTGTTCTCGGTGATCTCTTGTGCCAGTGATGATGGGCTCTCTCCTGGCTGCCACCACGGAGGCCCCAGGCGAGTACTTCTTCTCGGATGGAATTAGGCTGAAGAAATACCGTGGCATGGGCTCGCTAGATGCCATGGACAAGAACCTGGGCAGCCAGAACCGGTATTTCAGGTAAGAGGTGGTGCTTTGGGAGGCAGCAGATCAAACTTTTGGGGCTTCTCTGCTTCACAAAATTCCTTAATTTGTGCTCCCATGCAGTGAGACGGACAAAATCAAAGTGGCCCAGGGGGTCTCCGGTGCAGTGCAGGACAAGGGCTCTATCCACAAGTTCATTCCGTATCTGATTGCTGGGATCCAGCATTCCTGCCAGGATATTGGTGCCAAGAGCTTGACCCAAGTCCGGTGAGTCCTTCCCCTTGCTTGTGCTCTGGTTAGGGGACAGCGCTGCCCTTCGCAGTCCCCTTCGCTGTACCCAAGCTGTGGCCCTCTCCCCTCACCTCCAGTGAGCACTGCGTCAGATTTGCCAGCCCCAGAGATGCAGGAGCGTGGTCTCTGTGGTGTATTCAGCTGACTGGGCTTGAAATGTTGGCGTTACCTTATTCTGCCCGGCTCTTAGGAGCTTGGCAAAGATTATTCTGGCCACAGCTGCAGGAACCTGTCCCTTGTCCCGGCTGCTCTGCACTGTGTTTCCTGGCCTCTGGCTGGTTTGTGACGGGTGTCCTTCCCCCGCAGAGCCATGATGTACTCGGGAGAGCTGAAGTTTGAGAAGAGGACGACGTCCGCCCAGGTGGAAGGAGGGGTGCACGGCCTCCACTCGTAAGTCCTTCTGGCGGGATCCCCCATCTCGGCGGGGTGGATGCTGGGGCCAGGTGGGTCAGTAAAAGGGCTCTGCTTTGCTGCTCCCCTCGCAGGTACGAGAAGCGCCTCTTCTGAGGAGTGTCCCCCTGTGTCTTGTCATCGTGCCACTCAGCCCTGTGCCACCCCGTGCGGGAGCTGCTCTTGCTACAGAAGTGCCATTACTCTGTGGGCTGCCTAGAGCTCCCTGCGTCCCCTTGGCTGCTTCTTCACCACCCGGGAGGGGCCCACTTGCCGCCCAGGATCCTGGGCCGATGCCTGGAGCCTTGCACGCGTTGGCCGTGTTTGGTTTACAATAAAAGAGGAAAATATGTGCAGTTGGTGTCAGCCCGGAGCCCCTCTTCCTTCTGTACTGCCCTTGTTCTTCCTCCTGCACCCCTCAGGAGCAGCCTGTGGCTGCTGAAGGGACACTCTGTGTGTCTGAGGGGAATAGGGAGGGGACGGGGCTGAGTGGGTAACACAGTGTGGGGTGTTTAAAAAAACCCACCACCTCTGTGAGAGCAGAAGACAAGTGGCTGCAGGGCAAAAGCAAATGGATTTTACCCCCATGTCCGGGCCAGCTGCTGCAGGGACGAGCACAGCCACCCCCACGGCCCTGGAAACGCTTAGTGCTGCAGCTGCTCACAGGCAACAGGCCCTTGGACACGTATTTTTCCTATTTTTTACCAATCTGCCTTTCTCTTTGCCTTCCCCTAAACATCCCCTGCTGTCCCCCCAGCAGCTGCCCTGCTTCAGCTGGTCAGTGGCGGTAGTACAGATCACTTGCCCAGGCTTCATTTATGATTTTTTTTTTCCAGAAGGTGTGTGGACAATGAACTTGCAAGTGCACGGGCTTGCAAAGGAGCCAGTGTTTGTATTTCTGTACCCCTGACCCGTGCAAACAGCCCTGGCTTGGTCCGGTTACCTGTGCTTGTAACACCAGGTGACAAGGGCATTTTACACCTGTATCAGTCATCACATGCAAATGTCACTCCTGCTGAACTGTGTGTGTTTACCATCAGCCTTTTGTGTCTTTAGTGTTGTTGGTTGAAAAAAAAAAAATCACTCCCCAGCATGGTGATGTCAAATTAGATTTACACACGTTACAACCAAAGCCTTGAATTACAACATAATCGTGTCAAACGTTCATTAACGCAGCTGACTCGTTAAGCAAAGCTACTCCAAGGCCTGACCCAGGGCTGGGGACAACTGCAGCCACATCCCCCCCTGCCCCACGGAGGTGGCAGGGTTTGGAGCATGAGGCTGTGATAGGTTCATGCACCCCCTAAACCCACCGCAGGGTGGTATCCACAACCATGAGGCAGTCTCAGGTGTGCGGGAGTTGGGGGGACAGGACAGTGAGCCTCCCCACACACAACCCCTGCTCGAGCTGAGCCTGCAGGGGGTCACGGTGCAGCCCCCCAGGGACCCGGCTGCAGCTCGAGGGACACAAAACCCCGCAGGAGAGCCAGTGTGTGCCAGTGCCAGGGGCCACACCAGTTGCTGGTGCTGACCCACAGCACCAGTGCCATGTTCCAGCCGTGCTCTGCTGTGCATTAACCACCACGCCATTGCTCTGGGGTTCCAATTTACATGTATTTTCCTTGTGGAGCCCCAACCGGAGCGTGCAGCTCAACCCACCAGCCTCCGCCCTGCCTCGGAGTGACGGTTTCTTGCTGCCAAGGCACCAGTGTGGTGCTGCCAGCAATGCTCCTGCCTCACACCATGCTGCCAGAGCAGCCCGGGAGGCCGAGAAGCCAGGGACTTTGGGGAAAAGCCGAGCCCACACGTTTCACAACACCCTCCTGTGTGCGGAGCCGCCACCCAAGCAGCAGCTCCGACAGTTTAGTCTGAAGTGTTCCTCTGCCGGGAGCGGGATGCTCACAGCAGGGGGGGGCTTCAAGCAGCGAAGGGAAAGGCTGCTCAGCCTGCACCTACACCCCCCTGTAGGCACCCCGCGGAGGGATGAGCCCAGCAGCTACCATGCGCTTTTCACTTGTTAAGAAGTTGAATGTTGCACAGGCGTTTGGCTGTGGAATACAAAAGGGGAGGGTGTGAAGCCCCAGCCCTCGGGCCCTTCCCCACGGGGCACGCAGCCCCCTCCAGGCCTCCTCCACAGAGTCCCAGGAGTAGGGGGGACTCCCCACAGTGCTCCCCTTCCCTGGGGTGCTGCCTGCGCACACCCTTCCTCACCGTGTCCTGCACTTCCACTGCGATCCCGCACTCCCGCATCTGCTTCAGCAAGGCAGGGTGGAGCCGCTCCACCCTGTCTCCAGTGCCCAGCACCAGGATCTCTGCAAAAAGGACCTGACTGCAGGCAAGGCCGGGCAGGGCCGCGCTCAGGGCCGCCTTGGCCCACACCCGCCCTCCCCGCGGGGACCAACAGCTCCCCCTCGGCCGACAGGAGCCCAAATGAGGGGGGGACGCCTGTTCCGCTGCGCCCCTCCAGCTGCTGCTGCAGGGCAGGAGGATGCCAGAAAGCAGCTCTTTTCCCCCCAAAACCACCAGGCACAACACTGTGGGGTGAGCTGAGGCAAAGCTGTGCTGGCTCTGAGGGGCCAGCGCAGGGCCCCAGCCACCCCACGTACCGATCTGGGGTTCCAGCAGCCGGAACAGCGACAGACTTTCATGCGAGATGTCCCTGTAGGAGCCAACCTGCGGGGACACCGAGGGCGCTGAGCAGGACCCACAACGCAGGGGTGGCCGAGGCCCTGCCCCGCCGCCGGGCACTCACGTTCCACTGGAGGATGGTGCGGGGCAGGATGGCGCAGGGCCCCACCACCAGGTCCCTGTTGATGGTGAAGCCGCGGTTGGTGTAGCCGTCGATGAACATGATGTTGGGGGACTCCGGCTGCAGCACCGTCACCCGCGTCCGCTGGTACATCTCGTCATCCGCCGGTACGAGGCGGTGAGCCCGGCACGGCACCCTGCGGGGACGGGGAGCGGCTGGGACACGCGGGACACACGGACAGCCCGCAGTGAGCCCCAGGGGCACCCCACAGCTAACACCCCCCCTCAGAG